TTTGATAATCTTCCACCGACTCTTAGAAACCCAGCTTCGTCGAGAAAGGGGTTTAGTGATATTAATTTTCTATTTGTCAATGATTCATCCGATTTCAATTCTGAAATTTCTGTATGAAAGTATTTGTTCTGTAAAAATTGTAATATGAAATTCATTGATTCCTGCAACTCATTTACTGTCAGGAAACCATACCTTTTATTCGAGCTTGTAATAGTGTTGTTGATGAATCTCAAACAATAAGCGATAGTGCGTTGTAAACGAGTGAAACAGAAAAATTTTTCAAAAATAATTTCCCAATCCATATATGAAGTGTTTGTCGTGACGGAAGCACTAATCGTTTTCTCCATTTCAGGGAGTTCATCAACTGTGACATTAGAATCGTAATCTCTAAAGTCTGTGTCATATCTCTGTAAGAATGTGGGTCCATGCCACCACAAATTATAATTCAGGATTTGTTCTCCTGTTAATCCACGTGTTTAACAATCAGCAGCATTGTCAGCTGATTTGATGTATCGCCAAGTGTGAGGTGTGTTGAATTTTTGAATTTCTGCGACCCTGTGTCCCACGAATGTTGTTAATGATGATGGGACCGAGTTCATCCAAGATAGTGCAATTTGTGAATCACACCATAGATTGATGCTATCAAACGTAATTTTATTTCGGAATGTGTTTAGTATTTTAGAAGTTAATTTAATTAATAATAAAGTACCCATTAACTCGAGTCGTGGAAGGGATATTGTTCTAATTGGTGCAACTCGTGATTTTGAAGTGACCAATGTACATGAGACTGTGTGATCGTTATATAGGGTGCGCACGAAAAGGTTCGCACCATAAGCTCTCATGCTTGCATCACAAAAGCCATGTAACTCTATCTGTGTACTATCAACTGAGTTGAATAAAGTTCGAGAGATTCTCAAATTGCCGATATGAGAAATCGTCGTGATATATTCTTTCCACTCAGTATTCAAATCTGGTGGTAATTCATCATTTATTTGACCAGAGCTTTTGCTTAAACATTTTTGCAGTGACTATAATGGGACCAATTAATCCTAGTGGATCATACATTTTAGCAACAAAAGATAAAACTTGTCGTTTAGTGAAAATAAGATCATTATCAATTGTCGGGAGAGAAATTGTAAAATTATCTTGCTTTGAATTCCATGATAATCCTAAAACTTTGCTCGATACATTGTCCATTCGTATATGATATTCAGTAGCATCATCAGGTTCATTACCAAAACATTCAGTTGTGTTTGATTGCCATTTATGAAGAGTAAAACCTGCCGACTTACACAAAAGTTGCAATTGTGACTTCATCTCAAGTAATTCTTGAATAGTATTTGCACCACCCAGTATATCGTCTACATAACATTGAGTGAGAATGACATCAGTTGCCAGGGAAAAAGTTTTTTGATTGCGCTTTGCTAGTTCAACTAAACAGCGTGTTGCTAAGTACGGAGCACAATTTGTACCATACGTTACTGTCAACAATTCAATACACTGTATCGGATCAGAGGGAGATTTTCTCCATAGAATATTCTGAAGGAAAGTCTGATTTGGGTTGATTTTTATCTGACGATACATTTTCTCTATATACGTAATAAAAACGTATTGATATAATCGAAATCTGCACAATATATCATACAATTCAGGTTGAACTGTAAAACCTTTCAACATTATGTCATTTAGAGAAGGATACGTTTCGTGCCTACTTGTAGTCTTCATACTCCCATCAAAAACTACTCTGATTTTATCATGGTTCTCATTCATAACACCATGGTGTGGGAAAAAATATTTATTTTCAGATAAGTGGTTCTGTAAATTAAGTTCAACATACTTTCCATGGCCTAAATGAACATATTCATCAATAAAATTCTTATATTTTGTGAACAATATTGGATCTCGATGGATGGTTTTTTCTAGCGATTCGAATCTTTTCAAAGCCTTAAAATATGAGTTACCTAACTTTAAATGTTCAGTTGGAGTTTTCATAGGTAAATCAACTTGAAATGTGCCGTTTTCCAAAATTATCGTGGTGTCAGTAAATATTTCCTCTGCTAAGATATCTTCCTTCGATAGAATTTGTTTATTTTCAATTTCCTCGGGTACTTCTTCAATGGTCCAGAATTTCTCTAACAATTTCGAGACAGGATCATTATCCTGATGTGACGTTTGTAGCAATGAGTGGGGTGTGGAAATATTCAAAAAGGAACTACAAATTTGAGGGGTGAAATATCCACCTACTACCCAACCTAGGTATGTATTATGGAGCGTAGGAAACTGATTACCTAATTTATGTATACCAGGGATAATGAGATCATAATATATATCTGATCCAAGCAGAATGTCAATTTCTGACGGGATGTGAAACGTTGGGTCAGCAAGAATCGAATCAGTAGGAATGTTGAATGAATTCAAATTTATTTTATATTGTGGCAATTAACATGTGATATTTTGTAGAACTGCGCAAGAAATATTAAATTTTTGCGCAGTTAATGATGTGTTTTCTTGATTCGAGTGAAAGGAAATATGCACCATATTGGAAGAACATGTTTGATTATTTGAAATGCCTGAAATATTCATCGGTTTGGCAAATTTTGTACATTTAAGTTTTTTGACCATTTTTTCAGTGATCAGAGATGTTTGACTACCATTGTCAAGTAGTGCTTTTGCAGTAAATCGTTTCCCGTGTACATCATACAGTATGATTAGAGCAGTGGCGAGTAAGACATGTGTATTTTCGTCGAATATTGCGGAATGTGAAGTAGAGTTTGTTGCATTATTTCCAGAATCTGGCGTTGATCTTTCGTATTGATAAGAGTTTTTTAATACAGAGTGATTACGGTTTCGACAAAGAGTTTCAGACTCAGTACGAGGATGTGAGTGTGCTTGATCAGATCGTGAATAGGGTTGATTGAGTGAATTATATGAAGAGTGATGTGAGTCATCAAGTGCTCTAGTTTGGGAAGTTTGGTGAGAGGTTTGGGAATGTGTTGTGGGAGAGTTGCGATTATTGTTTCGTATTTGATTATGAGAATTGGAATTGTAGCGTGATAAACGTGGGTTTTGTGTCATATTGGAGTTGTTTTGATGATTTCTATTTGGATTTCTATATTGTGAATTGGAATTTGAGTTTTGATTTGAGTTAGAGTTAGCGTTAGAGTTAGAGTTATGAGTATCGATATGTAGTAATGTGTGATGTTTTCTATTGCATGTGAGACATCCTTGTGACGTACATTCATCATAATTATGACGGAAACCAAGACAATTATTATAGCAGAGCTTATTAGAATTCACAAACTGTCTTTTATGATCATGAGAGAGATTTTCGACCACGAAACATTTGTAAATGCAGCTTTACAATAAGTGCATGTGACATTTGTATTTGAGTGATTGTTATTGTTAGTGAGAGATTGATTGTTAGAGAAACTAGAGTGGTGAGACATTTTTAACTTCGCATCCGTAGATTGGAATGACAAATTTTCAAGTGCTGAACAACGTTTTTCTAGAAAATTGAAGAAATCTATCAATTTTGGGAATTCTGTAGAATTTCTCTCTAGTTCGAAAGATTTCCTTGTATTAAAATCAAGTTTCTGCGAGAATATGTATATTAATAATAAATCCCATTATTCTACAGGGGCTCCGAGATTTTTAAGACTCGCAATATGTTGATGAGTATGAGTAATGAAATCTCTCAATGAATGGGAATTGCATTTGTTCAGGGGAGTTGATTCCAATAAATTCTTAATATGTGCACTAGCTATAAGCATTCTATTATCATATCTTTTGCGCAAAGTTTCTAATGCAATTTCCAAATTATTACTAGTCAATAGCAAATTATCAATGAGATTTAATGGTTCATCTCGTAAGGCTGTCTTGAGGTAAATAAACTTTTGTATATTGTTCAACTGTGCATTATCGTATATAAGCGTTTTAAATAACTCAAAGAATGGAAGCCATTGAGAAACATTGCCATTGAATGTTGGAATTTTGATATCAGGAAGTTTGACATTGGTATTTTGATCAGGAGTTGAGGATGAAGCTTGAACATTATTAGATTGAGTTGGTGGAGTATTCAATCTAATTTTTATTCTAAGTGCGCTTTCTAACGTGAAAACTTTTTCATCGATTGCCTCACTATCTAATATTTCTAGCCCTGTTTCATCAAGTAATTCAATTTGATTTCGAATGTCACAATATTGTTGATATATTTCTCGCAAATGACCAAGTCTAGTGAGATACTCTTCTCTATCTAGGTTTGCATTCTCGGGTTTATTCAAAAATGTTTCAATTCTTGTGATTTTACATTTACTCGACTTTCTTCGCGTTTTCAATTCGTCCATTTCGTTAAATGATGATATCTAAATTGAAAGAACTGTCAAATCTTTGACACAAAGGAAAAAATTAATATTTAGTGAATGTGTCCGTGCTCCTTCACGGCAAAGGTAGAGAATCCTCAGAATTTTATCAAAGAGATAACTAATGACAGATATATACAAATGAGATAGGACATCGATAACTATATAGAGACCTCAAAAGTTAAATGCGCTTGAAATGTGACAATATTGGGAAAATTGAATTTGGAAGTTTTACAATTGAATATCTTCTAGAATGTTACAAAAATACACAATATTGAATATTCATAGAGTTCATGAAAACATTCGAAATATTCTTGGGATAAACGCCAACAGATTATAAAATTGGAGAGTCCTGGCCTTAGAATTCGCAGAAACTTGCTTCTTGATCCCGACTGCGACTGCGTACATCAACGTCTTTGGCAGGAATTGAGCGATCTAGATATTCTTCTTACTCTTCTGCGACTTTTTCTTGTTTCTTATGATGTTTCAATCCGTAGAGGTGGTTTTTTGATAATCCGGCTCGAAGGACCAAATGTTGAGTATCTTCTTAAGAAACCAAAACTTTCCTTCGATAGTCAGAGGAGAGACGCTCAATAATGATGAGGATATGAGCGTTAGAAAAAATGAAGGACCAGGAGTTCGTTAAACTTCAACTCCAAGAGCAGACTGTAACAGTTTGGTATAATTCAATCCACCAATCAGTCAAAACACCATTTCAAAACACTCTATTTATTTACATTAACTCAATCGCGAAACCACAATGAATACACTGTACATACAATCACAATCGTTGCAGGGACATTATTAGTCATTTGGTATTACTCAATATATAAAGAAATGCCACTACTTTTACGTGAGTTAGCAGGGACACGGTTTTGGCAAAATTGTGACAATCTCAAGTGACAGTTTTTTATTGATTCTTTCTCAGTCATTGTTTTTCAAACCCATGGATACCGCGAATATAATTTATGGGCCTACTTTGAAAACAGCGCTGAAATCATACAACATGAATACAGAGTGATCTAAACTATATTAAAACAATGTTTTAACACAGTGTAAACATAGTCGATCAAAGTTTCATGTTCTGCCTATTATGTTCGTTATCCTCGCTTCGATGTCGTCTCACAGGATCGTTGCGAACTGATATGCTCCAAAGGTATCCATGTGAGATGATGAAATACAGAGAAACAGTGTGCAGACTAATGTTGTCGAAGTATCCTCACTTGCCTGATGTTCTCGTAATATGGCCTTCGAAGTCGTCTTATATGGTCAGTGCGATCGTATCTGCTATAGCTCTAGGCATGTCAGATGCTAGAATGCAGAGGTACAGTGTGAACATAGTCGGAGTCGGAGTTTCTTGTTCTGCCTGTTGTGTGCGTTATACCCGCTTCGATGTCGTCGCATATGATCGTTGCGAACTGATATTCTCCAAAGGTATCCATGTAAGATGATAGAATACAGAGATACAGTGTGCGGATAGAAGTTTCCGAAGTATCTTCACTCGCTTCTTGTTCTCTTCATGAGTCCTTCAAAGTCGTCTTATATGGTCAGTGCGATCGAATTTGCCATAACTGTAGGCATGTCAGATGCTAGAATGCAAAGTTACAGTGTAAACACAGTCGAAGTCGGAGTTTCTAGTTCTGCCTATTGTGTGCGTTATACCCGCTTCGATGTCGTCTTATATAATAGTTGAGAACTCATATGCTCCAGAGGTATCTATGTGAGATGATAAAATACAGAGAAACGGTGTGTGGACTGATGTTGTCGAACTACCTCCACTTGCCTATTTATCTCGTTATATGTCCTTCAAAGCTCCAGGCATGTCAGATGCTAGAATGCGGAGTTACAGTGTGAACATAGTCGGAGTTTCTTGTTCTGCCTGTTGTGTGCGTTATACTCGCATCGATGTCGTTTCATATGATCGTTGCGAACATATATGCTCCAGAGGTATCTATGTGAGATGATAGAATAAAGAGATACAGTTTGCGAACTGATGTTGTCGAAGTATCTCAACATGCTTATTGTTCTCGTTATATGTCCTTTGAAGTCGTCCTATATGGTCAGTGCGATCGTATCTGCTATAACTATGGGCATGTCGGATGCTAGAATGCAAAGTTACAGTGTAAATATAGTCGAAGTCGAAGATTCTTGTTCTGCCTGTTGTGTGCGTTATACCTGCTTTGATGTCTTTTTATATAATAGTTGCGAACTCATATGCTCCAGATGTATCCATGTGAGATGATAGAATACAGAGAAACGGTATGCGGACTGATGTTGTCGAAGTATCTTCACTTGCCTATTGTTCCCGTTGTATGTCCTTCGAAGTCGTCCTATATGTTCAGTGCAATCGTATCTGCAATTACTGTAGGCATGTCAGATACTAGAATGCGAAGTTACAGTGTAAACATAGTCGAAGTTTCTTGCTCTCCCTGTTGTAAGAGTTATTTTGATTCAGGAAACACTAGACAATGTCTACCTATGAGATGTATGACCGACTTATTATCAAGATTGATAAATTCGACGTTGTGGCGAACACGCCGGTTAACCGACTCTTGATTGTTGGAATCGAAGTTTTTGGTGGATATGAAAAAGTAAAGTACTCCACTCACATATGATGTGCTGTCATATATATTTCTTGAATGGGCATTCAAGATGCTAGAATGCAAAGTTACAAAGTATACATAGTCGAAGTCGAAGTTTCTTGTTCGGCCTGTTGTGTACGTTATACCCGCTTCAATGTCGTCTCATATGATCGTTGCGAACATATATGCCCCAGAGGTATCCATGTGGGTTGATAGAACACAGACATACAGTGTGCAGACTGATGTTGTCGAAGTATTTCCACTTGACTATTGTTCTCGTTATATGTCCTTCGAAGTCGTCTTATATGGTCAATGCGATTGTATCTGCTATAACTCTAGGCATGTCAGATGCTAGAATGCAAAGGTGCAGTGTGAACATAGTCGATCAAAGTTTCATGTTCTGCCTGTTATGTTCGTAATCCCCGCTTCGATGTCGTCACACAAGATCGTTGCGACCTGATATGCTCCAAAGGTATCCATGTGAGATGATGAAATACAGAGAAACAGTGTGCAGACTAATGTTGTCGAAGTATCCTCCTTTGCCTGATGTTCTCGTAATATGTCCTTCGAAGTCGTCTTATATGGTCAGTGCGATCGTATCTACTATAGCTCTAGGCATGTCAGATGTTAGAATGCAGAGGTACAGTGTGAACATAGTCGAAGTCAAAGTTTCATGTTCTGCCTGTTGTGTGCGTTATACCCACTTCGATGTCGTCTCATATGATCGTTGCGAACTGATATTCTCCAGAGGTATCCATGTGAGATGATAGAACACAGAGATAGAATGTGCGGATTGAAGTGTTCGAAGTATTGTCACTCGCTTCTTGTTCTCATCATGAGTCCTTCAGAGTCGTCTTATATGGTCCGTGCGATCGAATTTGCTATAACTGTAGGCATGTCAGATGCTAGAATGCAAAGTTACAGTGTAAACATAGTCGAAGTCGGAGTTTCGTGTTCTGCCTATTATGTGCGTTATACCCGCTTTGATGTCGTCTTATATACTAGTTGCGAACTCATATGCTCTAGAGGTCTCCATGTGAGATGATAGATTACAGAGATACGGTGTGCGGACTGATGTTGTCGAAGTATCTCCACTCGCCTATTGTTCTCGTTATATGTCCTTCGTAACTCCAGGCATGTCAGATGCTAGAATGCGGAGTTACAGTGTAAACATAGTCGGAGTCGAAGTTTCTTGTTCTGCCTGTTGTGTGCGTTATACTCGCATCGATGTCGTTTCATATGATCGTTGCGAACATATATTCTCCAGAGGAATCTATGTGAGATGATAGAATACAGAGATACAGTGTGCAGACTGATGTTGTCGAAGTATCTTTACTTGCTTATTGTTCTCGTTATATGTCCTTTGAAGTCGTCCTACATGGTCAGTGCGATCGTTTCTTCTATAACTATAGACATGTCGGATGCTAGAATGCAAAGTTACAGTGTGAATATAGTCGAAGTTGAAGTTTCTTGTTCTGCCTGTTGTGTGCGTTATACCTGCTTCGATGTCTTTTTATCTGATAGTTGCGAACTCATATGCTCCAGATGTTTCCATGTGAGATGATAGAATACAGAGAAACGGTATGCAAACTGATGTTGTCGAAGTATCTTTACATGCCTACTGTTCCCGCTGTATGTCCTTCGAAGTCGTCCTATATGGTCAGTGCAATCGTATCTGCAATTACTGTAGGCATGTCAGATGCTAGAATGCGAAGTTACAGTGTGAACATAGTCGAAGTCGAATTTTCTTGCTCTCCCTGTTGTGAGTGTTATTTTGATTCAGGAAACACTAGACAATGTCTACCTATAAGATGAATAACCGACTTATTATCAAGATTGATAAATTCGAAGTTTTGGCGAACACGTTTACCGACTCTTGCTTGTTGGAATCGAAGTTTTTGGTGAATATAAAGAAGTATAGTACTCCACTCACATATAATGGGCTGTCATATATACTTCTTGAATGAGCATTCAAGATGCTAGAATGCAAAGTTACAATGTATACAAAGTCGAAGTCGAACTTTCTTGTTCGGCCTGTTGTGAACGTTATACCCGCTTCGATGTCGTCTCATATGATCGTTGCGAACATATATGCCCCAGAGGTATCCATGGGGGTTGATAGAACACAGAGATACAGTGTGCAGACTGATGTTGTCGAAGTACCTCCACTTGCCTATTGTTCTCGTTATATGTCCTTCAAAGTCGTCTTATATGGTCAAAGCGATTGTATCTGCTATAGCTCTAGGCATGTCAGATGCTAGAATGCAGAGGTACAGTGTTAACATAGTCGAAGTCAAAGTCTCATGTTCTGCCTGTTATGTTCGTTATCATCGCTTCGATGTCGTCTCTTAGGATCGTTGCGAACTGATATGCTTCAAAGGTATCCATGTGAGATGATGAAATACAGAGAAACAGTGTGCAGACTAATGTTGCCGAAGTTTCCTCACTTGCCTGATGTTCTCGTAATATGTTCTTCGAAGTCGTCTTATATGGTCAGTGCGATCGTATCTGCTATAGCTCTAGGCATGTCAGATGCTAGAATGCAGAGGTACAGTGTAAACATAGTCGGAGTCGGAGTTTCTTGTTCTGCCTGTTGTGTGCGTTATACCCGCTTCGATGTCGTCTCATATGATCGTTGCGGACTGATATGCTACAAATGTATCCATGTAAGATGAAAGAATACAGAGATACAGTGTGCGGACTGAAGTTTTCGAAGTATCTTCACTCGGTTTTTGTTCTCATCATGAGTCCTTCAAAGTCGTCGTCGTAGTATCTTCACTTGCTTATTGTTCTCGTTATATGTCCTTTGAAGTCGTCCTATATGGTCAGTGCGATCGTATCTGCTATAACTATAGGCATGTCGGATGCTAGAATGCAGAGTTACAGTGTAAATATAGTCGAAGTCGAAGATTCTTGTTCTGCCTGTTGTGTGCGTTATACCTGCTTTGATGTCTTTTTATATAATAGTTGCGAACTCAGATGCTCCAGATGTATCCATGTGAGATGATAGAATACAGAGAAACGGTATGCGGACTGATGTTGTCGAAGTATCTTCACTTGCCTATTGTTCCCGATGTATGTCCT